CTACAGATTTGCATCGAAGCGTTTCTTATGATAGTGATTTTAATCACTGTCAGATATCATTTATACTTGTCCCATCTATGCCTCGTCCACACTGTGCCTCGACCCCACTGTGCTACCGTTTTTTTTTTAATTGATATAGTGGAATTTTTTTTTAATTTATAAGGGTAATATCTTCAACTATATACGAATTGTAATCATTTGACGTATTATTAAAATAAAGTAGATCAAATGAGAGCAGAGAAAATAAATGATAGTCACAAAAAAATATCTTCTCAGCTTCGCATCGAAGCTAAAACCATATAGTAAAATAATTTTAATATGATAAGAAAATTCTTCTCGCGAGAGCGCGACTCATGACTTGTTAACTACAATAAAGTTTTATAAGGGCGTTCTTTCGGTTGGGTTGTTAGTATGAGATTAACGTTGATACGGGTAACGTTATTCGCAAAATACGTATTCGCAATTAATAATTTTAATAAAATTTTAACCGTAAAATCTTGTTGAAAACATTTCTTGTCGAACGAGCTTTAGAGTAATGTTCTATTTCAAATTTATATATCTCTGCTTTAAAAGGGATAAATTTATAAGAGAGCCAATGGGAGATTATCGTTTCCACCAAGTATCCTTTCCGCCAAACTTATCTTCTATCTGTCTATCTACTAAAAAAATTTAGAACCATTTAGTTTTATCCATTGGTCACCACGACAATCCAGTATCGGTTTTAGCATATAGGTTAGGTAACTGCCAGTACCAAATTGTTTGGCTTTTATTGAATGTTACGTTCAGGCCTGTATTTAAGCTTTTTGGGTGAGGTATTAATATTAATGAGCAAAATAAAGTAATTTTTTGTCCCACCACTATCAAATACATTAAACCCCAAAAATTTTTGCTCCCTTACATCACCTCCTAATATGGTAATGTCGTTATGAAAAATTACTTACTTTATCACACAGGCATAACTTAATAAAGAAAATATGACGTCTTACCTAGGGTAAATAAATTATAATAGATTACTATCTTAAGTATGTATATAAATATTTGTAATAAATAATAAAAATGTAGTTTATAAGGAAATAAAAAGTCATTAAAACATTGAAACAAAATTCAAATATTAATAATAAGCTTAATACGTGTAATAATATAATAAAATAATACCTTCTAAGCTTCGCATCGAAGCTAAAATAGATCTATGATCTATACATTTTTCTATAGTTGTTGCAAACTAATTTCACAAATTCAAATCGGCTAATTTCATCGCTATTAAATTTATCAATTGTTTCTTTTGTTTTTCTGAAACGGATTTTAATTTTATTCCGTACGCTTTTTGAGACTGCATTATCAAAACTATATATTTTGACGTTAAAATTTATTAATTGTTCATTAAAATGTGAATGAAATGATTTACAATTATCAATGCACTGCTATATAATAACAATAAAAAGATAGTAAAAAATTTGATTAAATTAATAGTAGATAATTATTATCGGGTTATTTTGACAAATATTTTAACCAGTGGTTCTCAAGCTTCTATTTATAGACAGATATAAATTATCGGTTTGGCGGAAACGATAAGCCAATATATGAAATAAATTACATTTACCGTATTACAAAATATCTTTAAAGTTTTCTTTGTAGAGATATTAAAGGGCTTGGTGCACCAACCAGGTAAGTCCAAATTTTTTAGGAAATACTTTTTTATTAATTTTGAATAAACATGTTTTTTGTATGATTCAGAACTAGTGATGTGCCACAAGAAATATTCCCCAGGGAACGTTCCTGGGAATGAGGAATATTCCGGAAATATTCTATTACCACTCGGGAATATTTCTTTAATAACAACTAATACATTTTATTTATTATAATTACTAAAGTATGGCAGTACTAGTGAAAGAGACAACGTTATTGTATTTATATCTTGATTACACTGATATGTTTATCAACATATTATTAATAAGCAATATATTAGGGCTTAGATTAAAATTGATTATAGTAGTATCGTTTTTCACAGTTATTTTATTTGTTAGTTTACTTTTCAAAATACTTTTAAAATGCCGGCAGGTAAAAATATTCAAATTGTTGGTCTTATTTTAACGAAAGACTAGTTAACTTCAATGAAAGAATGTAAATTATCATTACAAACATTAGCTGTTCATGCTGTTGGCTCTTCTATAATAGGAATAAACAGAAACAAATTAATTTTAGATGATGCTGTATTTTGGACTAAAATTGATAAACTTATTAATTTACTTAACCCTATTGTAAAATGGATTACAATTTTAGAAGGGGACAGCAATATAATTAATCATGTATTTGATGCTTTTTATGAAATTCAAAATACTTTTTGTAGTTATATCTCAGAATCACTGATTATTTCTACTAAAAAAGTGCAAATAATACTGAATAAGTTTAAAGAAAGACATTTAAATACTATTAAACCTCTACACTTAGCTGCATCTNAGGAATATTCCGGAAATATTCTATTACCACTCGGGAATATTTCTTTAATAAGAACTAATACATTTTATTTATTATAATTACTAAAGTATGGCAGTGCTAGTGAAAGAGACAACGTTATTGTATTTATATCTTGATTACACTGATATGTTTATCAACATATTATTGATAAGCAATATATTAGGGCTTAGATTAAAATTGATTATAGTAGTATCGTTTTTCACAGTGATTTTATTTGTTATTTTACTTTTCAAAATACTTTTAAAATGCCGGCAGGTAAAAATATTCGAATTGTTGGTCTTATTTTAACGAAAGACTAGTTAACTTCAATGAAAGAATGTAAATTATCATTACAAACATTAGCTGTTCATGCTGTTGGCTCTTCTATGATAGGAATAAACAGAAACAAATTAATTTTAGATGATGCTGTATTTTGGACTAAAATCGATAAACTTATTAATTTACTTAACCCTATTGTAAAATGGATTACAATTTTAGAAGGGGACAGCAATATAATTAATCATGTATTTGATGCTTTTTATGAAATTCAAAATACTTTTTGTAGTTATATCTCAGAATCACTGATTATTTCTACTAAAAAAGTGCAAATAATACTGAATAAGTTTAAAGAAAGACATTTAAATACTATTAAACCTCTACACTTAGCTGCATCTTTGTTGGATCCCAAAACTCAAGGGTGTAATTTATCAAATTCAGAAGTATTAAAAGCTATTGAGTTTATTGATCAAATGATATCTATACAAAATAATATGACTGATTCTCTTAAAATGGATGGTGCTCAAATAATAGCTGATATAGCAAATTACAGATCTCGACAAGATATATGGAGCAATAATTTTATTTGGAAATGTGTGGAAAAAATAAGTCCTTTAACATGGCGGAATGGCCTTTAACATGGCNAATATATCAATTGTGTCAGATGAAAATTCAATGTCAATTGATGGTTTAATTTCGTCCGACGATGAAGAGTGGTGTCCTAGTGACAGTGACAATGATTTCTTTAATGAGTATTTAAAACAAAAAGAAATAAGTTATCTTGTTGTTATTTACATTTATAAGTAAACATTTATGTTAATAAAGTTATCCTTTGCTTTTATTACTTTTGAAAAACCTGGAAAATGTGAACAAAAAATAACGTATTAAATTTGGTGACTTGTTTAAGCATTTTATAGGAATCATAGACTATGATGCCTATAAAATAATTCATAGCATACAGTTAATTTGAAATATAAACAGTGAAAAGTATAACAGAATCAAAAATTATAATTAGTTATAAAATATTTAAAATTCCTAATGTTTCAACATAAAATTTCATATTTAGTTTAATGTAAATATATACAAGCAGTTTAAATAATTACTTATAGTCAATTCTTTGCATCAACAACTGAACCTTTAGTACATAATTTCATTATATTGATAAATTTATAGGTACCTAAATCCTAATCAAATCAAATATTTTTAGAATAATTCTACTAATTGTTACACAAATGTCTTACTTTTCTCCAATAATATTTTTGTGTATAAAATATAGGCCATGGACCATTTACAGCTATAAGTTTAGTTAAATATTGAAACAAAATTTAATAAAATTATAATATTCCCGATAAATTCCCGGTATAAGGAATGTTCCGGAAATTTTCTCAAGGGATTTTCCCATCATAAAATTCCTGGGAATTTGCACATCACTATTCAGAACTATAGTACTGAAATACTAGTAAGTTTTATATTTCTAATATTTAAGCAGGTATTTAATTTAGAAAAAATTTTATCATTGCTTTTAAAGAATAAATTTTTATTATTATTGTACGTATTATTCATTAAAAATAATTTTCGTTATCTTTAAAGCATAAGTTAAATATGTATTTATAGAAAATAAAAATAAATTCTAAATATTCTTGATTAAATATTAAAAGAATCATTAGAGTTCGGATAATTTTTAATTTTAATTAATTTTTGATTAAAATATTTTAATGTAATTTATATAATGAGTTTCATATGAAATTTCTTCAAAAGTTATGGAATTTTGACGGAGCAGTTAGCTTTCTTTAAAATAATTGAGGAAATCGGTAATACACCTATTCCTTGGTATTTTATTCTTTGATAGTTTCACAGTATTCAATGATTTCTCAATGTTCAATAATTTGGAAGTTTAAATGAGCAAATGGGTAATTACTTATTTACAGCAGTCATCAAAAAATAAAAAATTTATTTTCTACAAAGTAGCAGTTAATTTTACATAAATATTTGGCTCAAAATGGTACTTCTATTTTGAATATTTATGTATTAATGATGATAAAACATATTTGGTATTATGTTTTAAAACGGCATCGTTACTGTCACGAATTTTTTCTTAATCATCATGTTATTAATATGCGCAAGATGGTCATCAATAATCGCGTAGGTTGTCGTTACGTCAGTCGCCATCTGATGGCCAAAATATAAAAAATAGATAAATTCTTCGATGTCTTTACATACAATGAACCTACCATGATAGGAAGAGAGCGCGGCATGCATTCCATGGCCGACCCCTTCACCCGCCATATCATTATTAAGCTTGTTGAATAATGTTCGCCGTAGGTCGTGTTCTGGCCTCTGTTTTATTTGTTCGACTTGTAATGTTTGGATGTTATTTGTGACTTATTTATTTTTTTATTCTTTTATCACAATAACAAAAACAATAATAAACTAGTGATAACATCAATTCTTTGTGTTGGTCCTCCATACCACATTTTGACAATAAACTCAGTTTTCATTTTTCTTCATTGAACTTTTAAAACTTAATAATATAATACCGACTGGACATGTGTAGTTATCGTGGACAGCTACTTCCATTACGACATGTTTTAGATGGAATGATTCCTTCCGCAATGCTCCAGAGCTCATAGCGGTTCTTAACAGCGGCCGCGCGTTGGAATACAGAGTGAGTTATTGATTATTTTCATTTCAGTTGTTTTCCATTTTTTCTCCCCACGCATCTCAACACCTCCCCGTTGACGCTACTCACATGGTTCTTGTGTTTGTACAATGTGTTAATAACAGTAGCTGGTCGTTCGTTTAAAAATTGGTAACTTCTAAAATATATATGTTTATCACCTCAATCAAAACAAAAAATGTGTGATATCTAGTGTTTTTATCGTTTTCTAACAATTATATTAGAAATTGTGAGTACAAGAATTTTTTCAAACACTATATCTGAATTTATTATTATTGCATTAATTAAGTTTAATATTTATACTTAAACTATTAAAATTCCTCTAAAACTACCAGATACCAATATTTTAGAAAACATTTTAAATTGCATTAAGAATACAATTTTTGTAATAATAGTCTACTGTGTTTTTAAAATATAGTAATACTTATAAAAGTTTTTAGCTCCTTTATTCACTGTTAATTGATCTCAATTTTAAATGCTACAAATATTTAATTACATATAGAAGTTTCTTTCTTATACTTTTTATACATGTACATAAATTTTATGATCACATAAAAACAGCCTTAATGTAATCTTGATTTTTGTGACATTACTGACTTCAGTATACAAAAACATTTAAATGTTTTTTGCCTCGAAATTATTAGATTAGTGTCCTTGTTACTATAATAATCTTCAATTACCTAATATTATTTATTTTTATTGTGTTTGTTAAAATTATAAATCTATTATTAGTAGAAGAAATTGATATTATTTTCACACAGTAAACATATACATTTCTTTTTAAGTTTGACAATTTTAGTTATTATTGCCACCTAAAAGACATTCTATGGAATAACAATAGATTTATATATATATTGATTTTTATGTTGCTAGATTAGTTTTTAATACAAATAAATAAATTTTTTGGATGTATTTTAAAGTCAAGTTAAACAAAAACATTTTTTTTAACACTTAAAGTTAAAGCTTTTAAATAAGGTTTTTGCTTGACTTCCATGATCTTAATGTGTGAAAGATTATATAATATCCATTTTAGGCCTAAGTATTAATTATGAGTTCTCCATCACAGCACTAATAATAGAAAGACATGCGCGTAATGACGACATTTAACAATTACTAAAAGTTCAAGAATAATTTATTAATATTTAAAAGCCATTAGAGAAATTATTTTTGATTTAATGAAAGAATTCTTTATAAATATTGTAGTTTCATGTACGGTATTTGTTGATTAAAAATATATATTTCAAGATTTGTCCAATTACTGTGAAATTATTAATAGCTCTCTATGAAGTATATTAAACATTTAATTTTTTTTTAAATACAAGTGTATTATAAAATTATAATAATATACCACATTTTCCTAAAATTAAGTTAAATTTATCATTTATTATTTTCAAAATATAAATTTTTCAATGTATCATTGAAGATTCATTTTTAATAAATTTTCACCTTGGTTGATATTTAAGACTAATTTTTGTTACTATTGTACCTAGATGATATTTAATTATATCATTCAGTTTAAATTAAAAACAATTGACCCCATTTATGCATATTCTTAGATAATTTACCTCTTGTTTAAATACACTCGAGTGTTAATTTATGTATAAATTCATGTACATACAATTAATTTATTTTGAAAGTTAGTTATAGTTTTGAAATGTGTTTCTTAAATCTTAAAAAAAAATTAACTATTTGTATTATTTCCTATTAAATTATAATTATGGTGGCAAAATGTAGAATTATTTATTTTAGTATATTATTGAATTTAGATTTGTTTATTATTGTGTTATAGATTAAGAAATGATTCATCTAATAACCATATAAAAAGTACAATTATGTTTCCCAATTCAGTTACATTATCATCAACATTAGTAAGTAGTTATTTTATTTCTATTAAACCTATTATAATCTCTTATCTTATTTATTTTAAATAATTAATAGCCTAGGATTAATAAGGAAAATAAGGAATATGATGATAATTTGGCTAACATCTCAAAATCGTTGGATTTCCATAATAATCATAAAAGTTGGCCTCTAGTACAAGTAGTAGAATGTGTAACAATAAAAGCTGTATCAAACATTCCACCGCCTGTCAAAGAAATGGAAACTGATGTAGTAGATGGAATGTCTTTACCAAATAAGATTGATTTTAAAGAAAATTTTCAATCAAATTGTATAGATGAAAACATCTTAGAATGTTCATCAAGTAATAATGTATTAAAAATTGTTTTACCTCTAGTCAATGATAATGAACCATTAAATAGTCCATTAGATACTTACAAACAAAATATATTAATTTGTCAAAACGACTGCAAATCAAGCATTAAATCTGTGCAATACTCTCAAAATCACTGTAATGAAAAATCAGTGAATGTAGTTGATAATGTAAATAATAATGATAGTAGTAATTTTAATAATATAAAATATTCTATATTAGATGAAGCTGAAATAAATAGATTTAGCTCAACATTTGAAGACATAAAAACTTTACTTAAAGAAGGTTTAGTTGATGGTTTAGATGAAATGCCACCTGACTTCCAACCACCAAATCCTCCAAAATTATATAGAGTATCATCGTTACCTAGTATTCTAAGTCATGATAGTACAAAAAATCAACATCCATACTTAACAATGTATGCTACTAAAAACGAATTATTAATAAATAAGCTAAACAAAAGTTCTATTGAAAAACAAGATATGTCTATACAAGTATCAACCGAATTATTTAAAATAGATAATGTTGAAAAAGTTCTTGTAGATACTAGTTGTCAAACAGAAGACATTTTTATAAATATTGAAGTAAATACTGATTTATCAACTGAACAAATTGATAAAGAAGAAATTTTTCCTATTAAAGATGAAATTAGCTTAGAATCAGCTAAAGTTGAAGAAATTCATATTGTAAAAGAGATAGATAAAAATAATGCCTTTTTACTTAAAGAAAGTCAAGAACACAATTTATTACTTAAAGAAATTGAAGAAAATAATAAATTATTAAAAGAAGTTGAAGAAAACAATTTATTATACGAAAAATATTTAAACAATATTAATTTGATTGACAACAATGTAAATAAAGAAGTACTGCCACAAATATCGGAAGAAATTAATGTTGTATCAAAACAAGATAATCAGAATAATATATTAAGTATTAATGAACAAAATCATGGTAAAATAGAAGATAATGTTTCTTATAAAAACCTCAATACACTTGAAAAAGAACTGGAACTTCAATCAATTGAAGAAAGTTGTACAAACTATGTAAATGCTAATATTTTAGAAGAATTTGTTAATGAACAATTAAATCTTAATAATATTAATGGAGATTTAGATTTTTTATTTGGACCATTGCCACCATCCCCTGTTGAAGAATCTGGTAAATTTTTTTTTCTTACTTTTATAGTTATTTGTAACTAAAATATTTTCTTACTTACAGTTCCAAAATTACCCAAAATAAAAAGTATGGACGTAGTTCTATTAGAAAGAAAAACAGAAGTTGAAACAACAACAGTTCCATTTGCTATGAATTTTCATAAGAACGAATCTAGTAATTCAATAATAAAATCTCGATCAATCGATGCTGAATTTTCCCAAAATTTCCAACATCATCAAAAAATTGGAACTCGATCGGTTAGTAAATCAATGTAGTTAGTAAATAAATATGACATTTATTATACCTAAAAGTAATAAAACTAATCCATATCTAACTAGTAATAATAATTATTTATTTAGTAATCCTAATATTGTAATTCTGAACAATAATTTATTTAAGTTTATTGAAGTTGATAGTTAAATGAGTTATTAGTATAATAAATCATTATTAAGATTCATTTCAGTATAATATTACTTGAAAATAAAATAAATAAAAATTCCAGGTACAAACTGAAAGAAGGACTTATCCATCGGAATTACCTATAACTGATGAATATCCTAGACCATTGCCATTTAGAATTGGAATTCATCCCAGTACAATTGAGAAACTGTCGGATATTTCAAATTCATTACCTGATACACCACTTCTTGGAAGATGTGATTTTCCTCGTCAGTATTCAGCAACAAACACTAAAACCATGTCTCAAATGAGCAGTAAGAATTTTTGGAAATCTTGTATTATGTATATGTAATTTACAATATATGAACAACCCATTTTATGAATATATAGTTTTTGATATACTGATTAAACATACTTTAAATAGATAGTTTAAGTATTAACATGAGAGGTGCTGGGCATGGATCAAGTATTGGATTGAGTCATGCAATGGTTGGTGCAGAGTTACTACACATGAATGGCCCTGGTAGGGGTTGGTACCCTCGGCAACGGCAATTTCGTCCTGTTTCAGTTGAACAACTTGACAAATTGGCAGCTAGTAAAAGTCCTGTAGGAAATTCACATTGGAGTGGTGGAGATAGGCACAAGCCAGTTACATTACCTCCAAATCTTTCTCCTAAGTTTTTCAATCGATCTCCAAGGGAGGCTTTACGGCGTGTAACTAGTCTATTAATTCGAAAAGGTAATAATTATGGAATAATAAACTACTGAAAGTTAAATGTAATATAACTATTTAAAAATTACTAGGAATATTAATATATTAATAAAAAAACTTTTATAGGTAATACCAATAAAAATAGCAAAACAAAAACTGTATTTGCGTCTTCTGTGATTGGCCCTCATGGTAAGATGTGATTATATTAATTATTAATATATTATTTCAATAACTAATTAGAGTAATGTTCTGGGGGTATACATAAACATTTTTTACTTTCCCTACTAAACGAAAAAAAAATCTTATCTTTATCATTTAGTTATTTTTGGTTCAAACTATCTAACTAACCCTTACTCACCTTTCTGCCACTATATTATTTAACTTTGTATTTATATAAAATTTTTGTTGAAAAATATTAACACATCATATAACTGGGATAGTTTGTGTTTCTATCCCGAGCCAGTTATATTTACTTAAAATTTTAATTTAATTTATTTATATTGATGGTATAGCACACAAAAGAGGTGAGAGCACTCGGTAGAATTTGTTCAAAAGTTTCCTTTAAAAACTATTAGTTACCAATAGTTAATGTTTAAACTCTTAAAATACTATAAATTAGTAGAATTTTAAAATTAAATAGTTATTTTTATATTGGATGGCATTTATTCTATGACATCTTTCAAAATCTTATCTACCTCTTTTTTGCATTAGAACATTGATATAGTTTCAATTAGTATTTCTGAGACTATATATATCTGACAAGGGGAAGTCACAGTGATGGGGTCACCTATTTTCATAAAATTTATATAAATCTAATTTATATTGAATACAAAATAAGAGGTATTTTAAATTTTTTGCCAATTCCAGCTATTAATTCGAAAAAATTGACTTTGAAAATTTTTAACTAGCTTAAATAGGGTCATTTTTCTTATCATTTTGAATCCCCCCTGTGGGCAGGTAAAGGGTCAAATGTATAAAAAAAAATATATCAAATAATAGATTAAAGACATTATGCATCTATAAAAAAAATTATATTGATATAATCATTATTGATAAAGTTATGGCAGTTTTAAGAAAAAAAAATTGAAAAAATTTGGAAAATATACAATTTTTAATAGAAAATAGTCGATTTGTAATTTTTTTGGACATTTCCTCCATTTATGGGGAATGAGGGAAATTTTTTCAATTTTTTAGAGTAATGTCTTAGACTAGATTTTATTTGTGATCTTTTGACGTATCGTTAAAAGAAATTGGTTCAGTAAGAGCTGAGAAAAAGCGGTAACAGACACAAAAAAATAAATAAAAAAAAACATCATAGTAAAATTAATACCTACCTTCTCAACTTCACATCAAAGCTAAAAAATACAACAAAATATTAATTGTTTTGAAATTTTATGAGTTGTTAATAAGATTTGTTAAACTCTTGTTATAATATAATTGAATAAATTAATAGTAAATAATGTAATATTAACTTTTCTGTTTTCTAGGAGACATAAGTGAAGAATGTGATACTAGTCAACCAAAGCGTGGATTTTTTAAAAGTTTATGGAGAAAATAAGACTACTTAAGTTTTGCAATCAAATTTCACAGCAATTTAAATGTAATTTGTTACTCTGTCATTAAACTTATGTTTACCTTTTATCTTATTAATAATTTTTTCTGAGTTACTATTAACAATTTTGATTTATTTTAAATCATCAATTTTCTATGATAGTCTAGAATGTTTGCCAAATTAATTTAAGTAAATTTTAGTTTGATATGTATTATTAATTAAACTTTTATTGTGAGAATCTATATTTTCAAATTTATCAAACATTTGATAATAATTTTATTTTTTATTTTATGAGTTTTTAATGCATCAAATTATTATCATTTAAAATACGTAGCAACCAATAAATTTAAATTATTAAATTTGTTTTTATTATTATTATGAAAATAATAATACTAATAGCTAGAATAGTTATTAAAGTACTATTTTATTTGGTTGTATATATCATTTGTATTATAAAAATGAATCAAATAGCATAACATATCCAAAATAAGTGTTAATTTACCAAATTTCAAAAAAAAGTATTGATATTGAAGTACAATTGGTTTTGTTTATTTGTCATGTCAATAGTAATATCAACCAATGGTCAATTAGTAAGACTAAATTAATAATGTTAAAAGGGCTAAACCCATCTCCATTGACCACCCTTTCATTAAAATTTCCGTAATACAGCATTGATTATATTAATTAATAATTTTATTTTATTATGCTTATTATCTGAGTTAAATTAGGAACTGCAAGTGGTATTTTTATAGAAATAAAATCATTATCTATAGTTAAATACTAAATCATATTTTCTTATTTTTTTAACTCATTATCATTAAGATGTGATCAAGATTTCGAACATTGATACAACATCACATTGACATATGTCACAACACAAAAAAATATTGAATTTTTAAAAATATCCCGTGTAGAGAAAGACCAAAAAAGACATGGAAGGATACTATTGAATGCGATTTGAGGACAGCTGATGTGGGAGATCGTGTCAAGTGGAAGTTTAGGATAAGGGTGGCCGACCCCAAGTAGTTGGGATTAAGGCGAGGAAGAAGAAGATGCTTATTATCTCAGTTATACAAAAAAACTTAATTTTAATTTTTAATGTATAACCAAATAATTTAATAGCTAAATAGAATAAGTGAGTTGTGTATGATAAGCATCATAGCAAAATTAATACCTTCTCAGGTTCGCATCGAATGTAAAACTAACCATCAATGACTTCATTAACAAGTTAATTAGGATTTTAACCTCACTTTCCTCGAACTGTATTTTGTTAATAAGATCAAGTAGGTAAGCGTTTAGGTTAATATAACTCACTATGATGCTTACTATTAATAGATGATATATATAAATAACTTGTTTAATTTCTATGATAAACATAGGAACAATTTGAATTGGATAAAGGGCTTATCCCTTTTAAAATTAAAAAAAACTACATACATAACTATACAGAGTGTTCAGTAAGTCAGGAAACTCATTGTTTGTAACAACGAGAACAATAGAAACCCGTTTTTTATAAAATTAGATGTTACATATAATAAAATCCTTCAAAAATGTTGTTGAAATTGCGCCTATGATGATAATACATGAACTGGTACTTCATCACACTATTGACTCAATAAATAACAGTAGTTGGGTAAAAAGCGGGACATTTGTTTACTTTACAGAAAAGTACCGCACATAAATATTCCCCAACTAATAATCTACTTTGTAGTTTATTGAATGCAATTATACAAAAATGGCGTTCTTTAAATAAGAAATCATTTTAAAGAAGAAGACAGCAAAAAATCCAGCGGGTCTATTTTTAAACCGTCCGTTCACGAACGAATATGTTCAGATTTTATTTTATATAGGTTTATATGACGAACGTCGTTCATGAATACGTTCGGAACGTATGAAATATTGAACGGGCAGGTTATTTATAACAATAGAAAGGTTTGACCCTTATACTTACCTTTTAGGTAAAATATTTAACTAAAATATAATTTTAAATTAACATCATAATTAATTATTTTAATTTATTAAACAGATCAAATATTCGTAAAAGTAGGTATACTCGGAAGAAATAGGGGAGCTAAATTTTGGCTTAGGGACATAAAAATACATGTATTTAAAAAAACTAGGCTCCGCCCCAGACACCAGACCCTACGAGCCTAATGCGCCTTCAGTGTGTTAGCCTCTTCGGACCGTCGTCATAAGTAGGCCATTGATTCCGGTAGGAGTACCAGACAACGACGGGCACGATAAGTGTTTTGCAGAAAAAATATTAAATCAGAATCAGTGTAACAAAAATATATTAAAAATGTAATTATTAAAATCAGGAAAATTCAAAAAGAGAATATAGTGAAATTTATTGGGTATAAGGTTGACGTTTGTTAATGAGGTATTCTAAATAGGCGTATTCAGAAATTATTTTAGGAGGGTATTTAATATATTTTTACTTTGTTAAACATGCTATAGAATTTTTTGCTAAAAATCAAAGTAATGATAAATAAAAAGGACATTAGGTCCTTATATCTTAGAAGTTGCCTCAAAAAATATTGATAGCGCTGGTTCGAAGGGGACCCATAGCCCTCTTAAATACACCCCTGGTATACACAAAAATGCATTGAAAAATACATGTTTAAAAAAAAAAAAATTGAAAATACTCGATGGGGTGGTAAAATGCATTTGTTCCGATTGGATTCCAATTTAAACGATAAACTGATAGTCATACATCATAAATGAGAAAAATAAGATTATTAATAATGTACTGTTCTGGTAATGAATGTGCAAACTTATGTAATTATAACAATTTTGAAATTTATATATAACATTCCTTAATAATATATAAAATATAGTGATATGCGAAAAATAGTGTCCTAATAAAAATATGTATTACACAAATTAAGGTTCAGAATAAACGTATGCACAGAAATGAGTCAATGTCCATATTAATACCATGTACGTGAATTAAAAAAAAAAAAAGCTCATAAAATGATGAAAATAGAATGGATTGAATCGATTTTTTATCATATCTCAGGAAATTCAATGGCCGGATCTGGTGAAAATTTAAACCTTAAGTCGTAAAACGATGGCGTCAGTGACCATTTTTCTCGAAAACTGTCAAAATTTTAAAACGCTCACTGGCGAACGGCAAAAATTTTCCGACCTTCGCCAATAATTTTCCCGGAGTCTGGTGACCAAGCACTTTCGTTGAAAAAAAACATTTTAAAATCCGTGCACGCTAAGTAATTTTTTCAGAAAAGCATTTTTTTCCTTGTTCTATTATATAATAAGATATTTTTATAATTATGTTGTTATGCAAAATATAAAATAATTTAAAAATATGTTTGAAACCTACAAACAAATATTTTTAGTTAAATAATATACATATCTATATATAACATACAATTTCTAAACAATTTCAACCACTAGTTAATTATTAAATTTTATTAATAAAAATTGTTAGGTATGTATGGTTATTATATTTAAAAGAATTAGTTTTTATTTTTTATATTGTAAAATATTAAATTTATACTTGAGATCATGGGCCTCTCGCACAAAATCCGTGGTCTAATACAACGTACCTCTTTGAAGAATTATACATTTAATAATTAACGCAAATTATATTTTTAATACCAACAGAATATATATATATATATATATATATATATATATTATATACGTATAACAATATATATTTCTTTATTTTATGCAATAAATGAATATTTATTACATGTAAAACATCTATTTATTAAATATAGAATGCATTTAAAGACGCATTCTTTAAATTCATAAAATAAGATTAAAAATCAAATTGTATGAATTTAAAATTCAACAAATTTATTTATATTATTATAATAAATTGAAACCAATTGTGAAAGGTAAACGTTTATCGAACAGTAAAATTTTGACCGTAACCTCATAGAACAATAGCTCCGTTTGATAAATGTTTACGTTTATCAAACGGACGAATCAAAAATAGGCCTTCAGAAAGAGGAAAATTCCTTTGACGAAATCCAGAGCACGCTACTGAAAGCAATAATAGCTTTGTAAAAAATTTAGATAAGATTACAGTTTTTTGTGTAATTTTTGTTGGAAACTAAAAATGTTCTATCCGCTGCTTTCCAATAGTTTTCAAAAGCTTCTACTTGTCTTTTAAGAGAATAATATTGAATTATTATACTCTCTTAGTTTGGACGTAATGTCCATAAGTACCTGTAGTTATGCGTGACACTAAATACTTACATAACACTGTATGAGATGCTATGTGCGAAACCCATTTGTGTGGGCTTAATAAACCTACGTTTATGTTCAAAATTACACCTGTTCTTTATCTCCGGTTGATGTTATTATTCGGGTTTGGCCTACAGTAGTGTAGGTATCAGATAGAAATCACGATTATTAAAAAAATTTTGTTACTCTTTTCAATATGACCGTAGGTATAGAATTAGTCTTTCAGTACGAATTGGAATCAAGGATAGGCGCGAGTATTTGGATACGGTTTTAGGGACACCGGATAAGATTTTTTAATGGCAACAGATCCATAAACAGCACATTATGCCTACACCTCGCGTCCGTTAACTACTTTCTTCTTTTTTCTATTTTTGTCCTATGCCTAATATGTATGTATATACTTAGTGATTCTATAGCATAATATGGTTAGTGTGATGCGTGTTTGTCAGATTTATAAAATATTAGACAAGTATAAGACAAACCTATTCAAATAAGTATTATTATTAAATTTTTTTGTTAACATGAATTTTAATGTTTTACAAGAATAGGGACAATTAGTATTTTCAATTAGCATTTTGCAGTATGCTTCATAATGAAAACCATTTATCATTAGAATTTTTAGGGAGTCTTCTAATGCAATGTGTTAAGAATATTAAAACTTTTATACAAAATAATAAATACTATCTGTCCAAAGAAAATAGTCACATATTACTGTTAGTATATTTTAAATAATAATATACGTACATAATTAGTTACAGTTAATAGGAAGTATGAATTGAAAACATGGATTTTCTTCAACAATTTATTTTTATTGCAAAATTTAAACGTCAAATTCATTATATGTACTTTACACTTTATGTATATATCATCATTAAAAAATATTGTCTCTCTGTTGAAATGAAAACAGTTTATTTAAATAATATCAAATCATAAAAGAGTATTATAGAGAAATCATATTTTCAATCAAGAGTATAACAATTCGGATATTAACACTTTTTTAGTGAATGAGTTTGATATTAGCAAGATTTTCTGTATGAAGCGTTAAAAATAACCTCGGATTCTTTTTTTAAATTTGCACTTCCGAAATGTTAGCTATTTAACTTGCAACAAGCTATTGTTAATGTTAAACTCGTTGAAGTTTAATATGATGTTCAATATCTATGTAAAAATTTGTATCGAGATAAGATTTAGATTTGATGAGATGATCATCTCTTGATAATTTTTCTCGATCGTATCTTTATTATTTTTATTAAATTAAAAAAAAAAAGAAACAATTTTAATATATTCGAATTTTGAGGATTAGGAAGAATAGCTTTTGGTAGTTACTGGAACACGTAATATTAAATTACAGACGATCATTAATATAAAATAATACCTTTACGTATTAATAGAAGATAATTTTTATTATTTAAGTAAACACACGTGGTATATGGTTAAATGTGGATAGGTGGCATTTGACAGCATGCTTGACATTATTTAAAAACATTTTGTCGAGTCGAGAAGAGCAATAGACATTAGCAACAACCGCCAAGTATCATTGTTATTGAAAAAGTGGTGGGGGAATTACCGGTGTTGTTGTCGACGGCGGCAAGCAGGCAGGCGGCGACCACACCACGACAGACCTCAGCCATCCGAGACCGGTGTTCAGAGTCGCGTGGGATCCACGTAGTACGACGTTTGCCGCAGTTGAATCAAAAAACGTTGCCGCAGTCACCGTTGCTCATCACTCGCTTGTTATTTAAGTCGCCGTATCGAATCTATTGTTTTGCCGCCGCCGCCGCCGCCGCGCATTTGTGTACGTTTGTGAAATGCCGCAATGATATCTGCTCGTATTACTTTAATACTAACTCCCTGATGATTTTTCTACATCTAGTAGTTTCTTGATTCAGCCGAAAAATTGTTTATAAATAAAAGTATTGAAACAGTTGTATGAAAATACTAACATATAAAGATGATAATGCTATGATTGGGTTTTTATTTGAATTATCTTGATGATCAAAATGAATATTACCTAGACTCTAAATTTATTTGAAGAAATTGAAGGTTTGTAGGTACTCATTTAGAGGAATCATTTCATCATATTTGGTAAGTTAGCTATTTAAAATGTTCATTTGCTTAGGTAAATTTTTACTTTGGTAACTTAAATTTGGTGTCTAGCTATCATCATGATATATTTCGTATTTTTTTTTAATTCAGACTTAAAGAAATGCCCACCTGAGCATAAAATTAAAAAACTGATGATAAAAATAAGATCTCTTAATTTTTATTATAATTTTATTTATATTTATAAAAAATTTTTAAGTTATTTTATATTAACCTAGTTAATCATTTTTGAACGTTATATGGTAAGATGTTAGGGCTATATGTTTTTTTGATAATGTGCTGTTATCTTTTATGGTACATATTTATAATAAAATCTAATCAATTCCATCGTTTATTTTATTGAATTAGATTTATAGTTATCATTCAAATAACACAACACGAATGACTCATTTAATGAGTCATTTTTTATTACTCTTGTTTTATTTGTAATCTTTGTTTATTTTTATTCCATAGTGTTTTTGTTCTCGCAAATAGATTTACATTTCAAAATAATATAACAAAACTATCAAGTTTATTTAAGCTTGATAGTTTCATATTTATGGTTATTAAGAATATTTTTTCTAGTATTTTTTTTTAAGTTTAATAATTCTATATTAACTTGTCATTAGTTTATTTTAACTAAAAAATAAATTAATTTATTATAGAATAATATAGGATAATGTTAATTATTATTTTTAGTATATTGTATAAAAGCAGGGTTATTTTTTAGTAAATTTTGATTCATATTTTGCTTATGATTTAATTAGGATCAAAAAAATAGACATTTGATGATTATAGTATTTATTAAGACTGTTAAAGCGTCGGCATAAGTCTAAGAGTCGAGTTTTAGGATATTAAAATTCATGTCGTGTAATCAATCATTAATTATGGAAAAAATCTTCAAAAAGAAAAAAAATTGTGTACATTTGTAATATCTTGTTTTTTTAAGACATTCATTTAGTATATTGAATAAAATTATTGAATTATTTGAGTGCTAGTTTTGTTTTTTAGAATTATCTATTTTTAGATAAAATATTTTATTCTTACATAAATGTTTAACTGAATTAAGTTTCCTTGCTAGTATATTCATAACCTTGATTAAATTGTTTGCTTATTTTTAAATATCAAGCCACAAATGTAAAAAATTATTAGTATACATTATTTAATTGTATTTTTGTTCTAGTTATCTGTATTATACAGCTAACTTTGCCAAAATATTTTATTAATTTAGTTCAATAGGTTGAGTCTTTGTGTAAAGGTACTGAGATTTCATCCTGTTACATATAATAAGTATTTATAAGTTTTTCTATTTCTTTGACTGTGTAACTTTGAGGAGATATTAAATATGAATTTTTAATAAAAAAAACAAATATATTGCTAGGCTTCATGTTGCTCCATTTATCATTAATTGCTTTTAAATACAATAGATATTGTATTAATATAATAATATTAATACAATAGATTAAATTTATTAATTATATGCTCTATACGAATGGTGTCAAAAATATTTGTTGCAGGTTTACTTAAACTACCAATACTTTTTTTAAATTTTTTAAAGATCGTTATTGTGTTTGTAAAATCATGTGTTGTTATAATAATGATATTTAACTATAGTCCTTCAATATTTTCTATAGTACACTAAATAAGAGTGTTTTAATATGATGTATTTATTGAGTAAAATTAAAAATTTTAAATCATAAAATTGAGATTAATTTTTGTAAAATTAGTTTGTTTTTCATTAAATGATAATTTATTGTTTTTAACTATTATATTTTTATCTAAGAGAAAAAAATTGAAAGTATTAGAACATTGTTCATGTATTTGTAATAGTTTTTAATATTTTATTCATTAGCTAGTTCATTCCAAAGTACATTTTGATTTTTTGATTAATAATTATTAAAGCGTGGGAAATTAAAATACCTATTCTATAGGTATTAACTATAATGTCAATGACCATCTTTTTGATTTTAATGAGACTCCAATTTTCAACATTAAATTAATTAAATTACCTAAAATAATATTTTTTTAAATATGAAAAGTAATTTCATATTAACATTTTATTGTTAACTTTCAGATATCCTTTATACTTTATTAATTTTTTATCTGTTCTAGTGAAGCTTTGATTATTATTATTTTTAAGTTTAGGCATATAAATAGATTTATCTATGATAAAACGAAAAAAATAGCTTACTTTATTTTAAAGTGGTTCATATATTTATATTTTTTAACATTTTATTTTAAAATTTAATTAACTATTTGAAAAATTAAAACTTGGAATAAAGTAATAAAAATAATAAAGTATGAAGTAAATTATTGTAGAAATCCAGCATAGTGATGTAAAAACATTTTGTAGATTATTATGTTTGGTGTCAGTTGTGATTAAAATTATTATTGTAAAATGCTTTTATGTGTATTTGATACAAATATAAAAAAGAATTTAACACATCCACTAAAAATTGTATGATTTTCGATTTAAATTGCCAATTACCCATAGAAGGCATGTTAGAGTGCCTTTTTAAAATCATGTATTACTATAAATAAGCTATATTTTTATTTAGTTTTTAGTGTAGATGTTCAGTTGATATACAAAATATTGTTTTGATCATATATTAAATTAAACAAGCTTTAATTTAAAATGATTTAGAATGATATAAGTATTCCGTTACTATGCAAAATATTACAAAATTGGCTATTTTTATTGAAAATTGTGTAATTTTTGGCTATAATATTTGATAACTCTTAGAAATCGAAATTTCCGATAGTTTTTCATCTAAAAATACATTTTATTAGCTTTAATTTGATGCAGGTTAAAAAAGACAGGTTTTTTGGAATATTATTTAAAGTGTTTGTATATTTTGAAAAGAATTATATGATTTAAAACAAATAACTTTTATAATTTATTATAAAATAAATATTTTAAGAGTTAAAATAGAATGAAATCAATTGCTAAAAAGATATGGGTAAAAACCGTGAAATAATACAATATGAAATAGTTCAAATTTTAAGAAAAATTTGAATTTCTTATTATTTGTTTACAGATTATAACTAAGAATGTTTAATAGTACAGTCCCTTGTATTGTAAATGAAACTAACTAATTTTCACCTAATTGTTAATAAACGCATTACATCATCTGAAAATTAGAAGTTAGTCTTTGTTCACCTTTTAACTAATTTCTTATAAATATTTTATAGATGTGTTTTATTAAATTTGTGTACTTAAATTTCAAAACAAAGTTGTAAAAGTATTATTTTTACTATGATGTGCTTATTTATTATTATTATAATTTTTTTTTGTGTTTATCATCACTTTTATATGCTCTCACTAAACTAGTTTTTACTTAACACATCAAAAATCACTGATAGTGTCTAATTGAAGATATTTCCCTCGAAATAAAACTGATTTATTTCTTGTAAATAGAAAAAAATCTTCAAAAAAATTAATGAAATTTTTTTCACTTACAATTTCTAATAACTTTTTAAAAATTTGAAATGTTGCGTTTTTTAAACATATTTTAAATTTAAGTTTATGTTATATATTACAATTAAATAAAAAAAATTGGCCCGACGCTTTATCTTCTATAGGCAAATTATATGGTTGTTAAAAATATATATTTATATTGTTAATCTGTTTAAAACAAGTAAATAGTTTAAAAAGTTCCTTAAGGCTAATGATGAATTATTTGGTGTTTTAAATACATAGATTAGATTAATCGAACGTTTATTAATCATTATCAAATTTCAATCAATAATGGTTTCTTCTGTGCTAGGTCCCTATTGTGCCGTTTTCGGCAATACTGTATAGTTTTTTCTAGTTTTTGTTTGTGCGTACAAAATAAATAATGAATTATTAATCATGTATAAAAATATTCAAGATACCGCAATCGTACTGACTATTTGGTGTAGAGATAAAAACTATAAAAAAATTATTTTTCACAAAAAATTACAACTAATTATAAATTAACAAAATGTTCGTTTTTATTATCCCCTACGTTTCATCTTTGAGTTATTTGTATTATGTATATATTCTTTTTAAACTTACAGCTAAAATGATTGTAACTTTTACGTGGGTTTTTTAATTATTCTGATAGATTTTATTTAAACTTATTCATAACAAATCACGTTTTATGACACATCATTTTCTATATTTTTAACGCCCAAGTTCCTTGAAGTATTTATCGTTATAATATCTATGATCTCATTATTAATATTAATGATGATAATCAACGTTTATTTATAAGAATTTTCATAATTTTTTCTTTCTTAAAACGTGTTGTTGTGATTTTTAACCGTCTTAGCAGCAGTTACCATTAAGTTAAAATGAGGCTCTTAGTCTCCTTAATTGCATATAGTTTTGGCTAGAGGACAAATGGGCAATAGGTAATAAAATAGTAGAAATATAGTGTTTCTTTCGAGCTTTTGTTTTTATCTCTTAAAAACGTGTTCAGATAAAACAATCTCAAAATGACATGCATCTTGCTGAATATTTATATTAATCTGTTTACATTAGATAAAGCACAATTTATGACACTTTATTATTGGTTGTTATTACTTATTAATAAGAGTATTCTTGTTTTTTCGGACGTCGTTGCCACAACATGTTTTGGCCAAAATTACTATTTAAGTTAAATAAATTGATTACACACTGTCATAGAAATAACTTTTTTAAGTTTCAACGCCTCCAGTTTATTTAAATAACTATGCAATGAATATAAGAAAGACCAGTTAAATTAAACTCTAGGTCTATTGAAAAATTTGAAAAACATTGTTAACTATTTCATATTAAGTAGTTACGTATTATATTACCGCCGGATAATTTCTATTTCATTTTGTGTAATGTTGTTCAAAACAAATAAATTAAAAACGTAAAAAAAAACGTCGCAACAATAATAAAAACTTAACTGCTGTAGGGTCAACCGTTTGCAAGTTGTTTGAGATACCGGAGACTGCAGCGGTTAAATGTGAATACAATTATATATACACTTATTATAAGAGGGGTCATTTTATGGTTCCTAATTAAAAACACTGTTAATTGTTTTAATTTATGCTGATGACCTAATAACGAGCAATATAAAATAATAAATGATCTATATGTTCTAATAAAGACGTTCTTATAATTATTTCTATTTCATACTGCACGAACTATCTAGAACTATTTCTGAGCTAGACAGGGTTGTTTTATTATAAGTGAAGTAATAATATTAATGGAGAAATCGAAAATGTGATTGCATTGAAAACATGTATAAAATATATAGATGTATTATTATTATGAAACCAAATTATGAGATCCGTCATTTATAGTTTTCATTATACATTTTTTTGACGAAATTAGCATATTAGACATTTATTCTTAAGATTACATTGTAAACACTTTTTTGCCTTAATCTTATAATTGGTTGTATTAAATTCGTTTTATAAAATTGCATTCTTGCATTTTTTATTCGCGTCATAGAAATATGAATTGACTTCTAAGAAAAAAAAATTTAGTAAAATCATTATTAATACATTTTATCTACAAAGAATTATTTTTATATATACATTATTATTGCAGTTATAATTCGGGTGTCTTTCTTTAAACTTGCATTAATTAGCATAAATTGTAATTTGATAATACATTATGTGTACTAAGTAGAAAGTAAGTTATTTAGCTATAAAAAAACAATAGTTAACAGAATGAATTACATTTTTTTGGGGAGATAAGCTAAACAAACGAACTCAATTGAATTTTTCTTAAGATATTTTTTCTTTAACACCTTACAAGTATTGCCTTGGGTTTCTTAATACTTTAATCTAAAAATCAACCCATTTTCAATAAAAAGTTTTATTATATTTCAATTTAAGTTAAAATACATAAAACTAATTGAATTTTTTACTTTTTTAACTAATAGATTTGACCTCCGATAAATTAATAATGATAACGGTCTATTATCTTGCAGCAATAAAACATAATTTCTTTAATGTTATAATTTAGTAAACACACGTGCATTGTATAACATATGTTTCTATTATTTAAACTTCAATATAGCACAATTATAAAAACTGATCATTTCTTTTTAACGGTTAACTATTTATTCGTCTCTTGGCTTTACAAAATACAATTGTTAGTGACGTCTAACGAAGAGCAAAAGCATATTTTTACGACATAACAATTAAATATTAAATTATACATTTTTGTTGACAGCAAAAATGTTTAAAAGTAAATTTGTAATCATTCTGGCGAAAGACTAACTACATTTAAGTATTATTGACTATTGTTAATACTTAAAAGGTGTCTAGTATCTAAATGACATAATAAGATTAGGCATGTTGTTTTCTTTTTACCATTTACCTAAAACTGTTGCTCGTCAGAGATATAATTTAGACTGTTCAACTTTTCAGAATGCTATAATTTTTCACTATTGCTTAAGAATGAATAATTTTCATTATTCAAATGATGGGGATGCTAAAATAATGCACTTAAAAAAGACATTTTCATATTATTTGTTAAATAGTTACTATTTTTAAACATAAATTGATGTGTTCAATTACGGAATAAGTTACGAAGTATCGATAAGTTGTAATTCTCATGAATGTAATTAGTAAAGAATTTTTCTATTCTACCTTTTTGAAATAATTAAACATTAAAAAACTCAACAACTGATAGTTAATACATTAATTAATTTTATATTTGGTATAAAACATCAGACATATAAAATATTGTAATTTTTTTGTTGAATTTATATTATTTTCACTTAATGTAAAAAGTTTTTTCTTAATTATTTTCAATGTTTTACCAAATATATCTGTTAATTAATTATTATAATAGTTACGCTATTGATAATTGTTTGCAAGCATTAAATCGTAACATTATGCAATAGTGGGAATAGTTTTCCTCCTACATACTGAGTTGGAGTTTTATTGATAATTATACAGACATCATATCTTTAAGTTGTATCGATCTTAATACCGGAAGCTATCTTTGAAATTAACCAGACAACAGAAAGTAATTCAAGCGTCACAACCTCCTCCCACTTGATTTGAATCGATTTCTGATTATATTCTAACGATTACAACATTCAGTTAAATGCTAATGATGCAGTATATTTTCTTCACAAATGCTAATAAAATTAAATTTTAATATCTTTATTTACAATTGACATGATAAACATATGTTTTCTATTTTTTTTTAATGATGTTAACATTGTACTCGTGTAAAAACAACAGTAATTACATACGTAATTTCAATAGTGAATGAATGTTGTTAATGTCGAGTTCATTTGACATATCTGTAGGAGTGATTAGTTGATAGTAATACATTCACTCTCCCATCACATAATTTATAATACGTATTAACATATAAGTTGTTTTAAGAACTTGAGCTCTAAATTTTAATTATAAAAAAATAATTATATTATTTCATTATTGTTCTTAGATAAGTAAGATATATATATATATACAATATTTTAAATAAAATATTACATTTATCCTAACTCAAGTTTTTAAAAATAAATTGTGAATATTATGTTAAGTATCTATTAAGATATCTATTGCGAATCTAACGTGAGAAAGTTTTTAACGATTATTTGAAAATTATTATATTTTAATAGACGTGTTGAATATTCAACATGATTCAGTAATGAATTAACGTATGGATTTCTATTTCATTAGTATAAAATATAAAATTAGATTACTGAATCTATTTTGTCTTGATACGACTTTTTCTTATTTAACTCACAATGTGTTACGAGTTCTTATCTCAGCATACTTCTTTATGTTTATTTAGGCAGCCATTTAGTGTTAAGTTCTGATGTTATCGATTGTCATTGAATAAGTAATGGATGTCATTTCGTCAAAACCTCCATTGTTCTTAGAAAATTCTACTCTTAGTCGGAATGAACCTAAAACTTTATCGCTTAATACAGTGAAAGAACACAACTCTAATGGATTACCCATTTTCTCATCTCATCAAAACTCATCATCTGGATCTCCATCATTGTCGCCAACTTCGCCATCTGATAAACCTCGAATCTCTATTCCTAGTCCTTCCTATGATAGAAACCCAGATTACCTTCCAAAATCATGGTACGTCCAAAGTTTCAGAAGAAACAGTGGCTCTATATTTGGTGATTCTCCAACTTTCCATACATCTTCACCTCTTACAGCATCTCCTCAATCTTTAAATTTAGCCGACAATTTTTCTAACACATCTACTGGTACAAATGTTTCTAATCACCTAAATAAGGTATTTATTCCTTATTTTATTAATTTTAAATAATTGTCATTAATTTAACTTTATGTAGAACCAGTACAATAAGGAAAACATTCATCAACTTGATCAAAATCAAATATTAAATTTGGAAGAAGTTTTAAGTATGTGTAGTGATTATGAGAAACAAGTTCAAAATGAACGATTGAATAAACCCCAACAAAATAGGTTTGTCATAGTTTTGAATAGAATAAAAAGAAGTATAAAAATTAGATAATTAATATATTTTTATCTTTAATTGGATATCAAGGATGAGTTACTCTTTTTTTCGAATTTTCAAATATTTAAACAAATTTTAGTTATTTATTTAATTTTATAAAAATTTGTTATAATAATCACATCTTTGTCTTAAGTAGTATTATCAAAATTGAACCACTGGAAATATTTAATTATTAGCCTAATTAATCTATTACCTGATCAGAAATAAAAATAAGTTTCAGTTTTAAGAAATCCTTTAGAATGGAAAAAAAAATTTTTTTTTACAATAGACAAACACAGTAGTGTTAAAAATAAATTACAATGAATGCACAATTAAAAACTCCTGATGATGATAATAGAAAAATAAGGCTTTCCTAGTTTATATTGATGATATATATATAATAGTGATCAATTTAGAGACTATCAATTTAATATGACGTATTTTGTAGAAAATTATGTTTTTAGTCTAGATCAGTGTTTCTCAACTTTTTTACAGAAGTTTTTAGATTTTCAATATTTTAGTACCTTTATTACTATAGATGCAAATCAACTATAAACCATATTTTGGTGATCCCTAATAGATAATTAAACACTTCAAAGGGAGTAGTGATTCCTTGGTTGATAAACACTTGTTTGGATTATGATTATGAGATGATTTCCATTTAAGAATACTAAAAAGTTCAATTTTTGGGAACAGGTTTTATTTATTAATTTTTAGACTTAGTACAAATTATAATTAATTTATTAATTTCCTTGTGGTGTCCTTCATTAAGCTAATATTAAAATAGAGATCTTCCTTGGATATTACATTGAATGTGATTAAAACGTTAATGATTATGAGTTCATTATTTGTACTTTGTAATGTTAAAAAAAAAAATTGATTAGGATATAAAGTAAAATATTCTAAATTGATTTTTAAATGGAAAATATATTTGTAGAATTAAAACAAATGGGTCTCTTCCTCGTGATAAAAAACTTGGTTCTAATTCTGATGGTTCTCCTGTCAGCCCATGGTATGATGTATATATATATTTATATAAACTAAAATAATTTTCTCACAAACATTTTTTTCATTTGTAGCTCACCATTTCATCAACAAAATCCAGATTTTTTAGAAAATACTATGTCACCTTCCAGTTTTAGTGACAATGGGTTTCTAGAAAATGGGTTCATTCCTGGTAGCCCTAGAACCAGAATCAAGACAATTCCTTCCCCAATAGAATACTTCAGGTACTAATTTTTTAAATATTTTTTATTTTATTGTTACAAGAAAGTTTATTTAGTATATTTTTCTGTCCTTTCTACTGTAAGGATAATTTTTCAAAAAGAGTATTAATGAAACATGACAAAAACAAGTAATCTAAATGCCAAAATTTTAAAAATGAATTTTATTACATTAAAATAAATTAATATACTTAAGGAAATACTATAAAAAAGAAATTCAACATCAGTTATTTGTAACTATTAGAAATAAGTATCCTCTAAATATTGAGCTGTTAAATGGCTTTTTATGAGAATTTTTTATTTTTTTGATCTTCCACACTTTTTGATACATAGATCACTTGATCCTGCTATGTCTCAAATAAATAAATATATATATATATATAGGATAATAATTATTTTACAATATTTTATATTTTAATAAAATCACTATTGTCATTTTATACTTGATTATTTAAAATAATCGAATCTTGGTTTTTTAGAGATTGTGATACTGCTGATGACTTTTCAAGTTTAACAATTAAAAGAACTAGAAGATATAATAGAGAAATTAATGTAAACTCAGATACGAAAAATTCCATATTAAAAACTAATAATTTTAGTAAAAAATTAGATAATGACAATGATATTTCTTTGGAAAGTTCTAAAAATCTAATAACCCTTATAAATGAACCACAAAAAATAAAAAATAATACAACAATCTCAAGTACCTATTCAAATAATCTATATAGTGATTGTTGTTCACTTAAAAAAAATGAAGATAGCTGTCATATAAATTCTGATAATAAGTGTGATACACTACCTAATAGTTTTAAAATGTCTACCAATAAACTTGTTAATGACAAAAACAATTTGTTGAGTCAACGAAATATATTTCCTTTATCTGATTGGTATACTTCTTTATATGCTGATCCAAAAATGTCAAACAAAAAAGATATTGTGCAGTTAAAAAATGAGCAAAGTACACTTTTGGTAGAATTATCAAATCTAAAATCGAAATTAGTTGAACTACATCTTCAAAAAGAAGAAATTAATAGAGAGGTTTGTATTTTTTTATTAAAATTTTATTATTTTACTTAATTGAAATTCAACATTTTTTTTATAGTTGATTATGGAACGTGCGTTATTAGATGGTGAACTGAAATCTGAAATAGAAGAAAGCCGATTAGAAGAAAAAAAATTGTTTAAGATACGAGAAACAATTCAAGAATGTGATTTACAAATGGAACAATGCACCAAAAACCAATTAGATCGACAATCGCTTAGTAAAGAACAATTAGGTGAACATCAATCTGTATTAGACAAGTAATAAAACTTCAAGTTATTTTATAGACAACTGATTCATAAATTATCTTATAAATTTTAACCTATTGAAGATTAAAGAATCAACTGCAAGTTATTTCTGATGATGATTTGAGAGGAGAAATTTATGATTCTATAGAAAAACAATCAGAGTTGTTAGAAGCAGAACAAAAAGTAACTATTTTTTTCCAATAATCAAATCATTTGTTTATCTTTTATTTTTCAATTGAATATATTTATTATATATTTTTTAATTTTATATTATGTGTATTGTTTTAGTTATTTGAAGATATTGAATTTAATCTTTTAGAAGAAGAAGCGGATTGGTTGACTAAACGTGAAGAGCTTCATAGGGAGCATAGTGTTTCAGTATCTTTATATAATGACCGAATCGCTAGATTAGAATCATTAAGAGCTCAACTGGAACAAATTGATAGAAATGCATCTGATGAGTGCAATACCATTCAAGTAGAAATAAGTTCCTGTCTACTTTTTATCCAACAGGTATTTTTTTTGTCTTGAGTTTTTTGATGTGATAAAATAATACAAAATAATTACCTATAGGGTCATAAAAGACTGGATGACATTAATAGTTCCTTGGAGTTATTAGAAAAATCTTATAAAAAAAGATCATCTAATGAAGTAAGATTTTCTTTTTAAAAATTAATGTTTTTTGTTCTTATGTAATCACAAGAATACAAATTTAGGAGTTGGAAATTTCTTCAGATAAACAATCGCAAGAAGATTTAGATAGAATATCTAAAATAACATTGGATACTCCTTTATTTGAATTGAATAATGCATTATTAGGCCAACGTACACGAGCTTCATTACAAGAAATTGAAAAAAATCGCCAAATTCATTTAGCGAAACAAGGTTTTATATCAAAATTACTTAAATGTCTAACAAATTTATTTATTTATTTGTATTTTCTTCTATAGGGAGTATAGTGATTGAAGAAGCTCGGAAGAGAGTTAAAGAGTTAAAAAAAAAAGCTCAAAATGAAGTTATTGCTCAATGGGAAGATGAGCAGATTAAACAAAGAAATATGAATAATAATTCATTAAATAGTGTTGCCAGTGAAGATTGTAGTAATATTGAAGAATCCAGTGAATTAATTACAACCAGGTAAAATTTCTTAAATTTTTGTGTAGATAATTTGATTTAAAAATATATGTTTTTTAGTGTCTTACTGAGTATTGAATAATTATATTTTATTTTTATAATATTTCAGTGTTTGTAGCAACTATAGTGAAGTTACTGGTATGGACAGCATGTCTACTAGTCAAATTAATATCAGTGACACTTTAATTGTTGAGGTAAACATTCATCATTACTAATTATTTAGTAGAATGAATATGGGGTTATCAATGAACTGGAGATTCTTTATAAAGAATTGCATTAAACATTAGGGACTCACAGTGTTCCAAAACATAATTTTAACTAGATAAAATTAATATGGGATAGAATTTCTACTTTTCAGTAGAAAAAAAAATGTATACTAGCATGTTTTTGAGATTTCTGAATTCAAATTTGGCATTATTTTTTAAGTATTCTTCTTTTTATAGGTATTAAAGGGGGTATTTTATCAATTTTAGTTCATTTTTTACCAAAATATATATTTGAAGGTCTGTATATTTAGTGTATAAAAGAACTGTAAAATATCTACATTTTATTATTTTTAATTATTGTCAAGCTTATTATGAGATTTTCTATCTTTTTCCATTTTATAATTCCTTGAATTTTGTTGTTTTCTTATACCAGAAATATCTGGTATTTTATTAATTAAAAGATCTGAAAACTGCAAAAGAATATGTATTTTTATTAATGTTTTTATAAGAAATTGTCTAATCTTCATGAATCATATTAAATAACCTTCATTTGTGGTATCACCATATTATAAGGTGATGCCATTTTCAAGGTTTATGTTTTACATTATTTAATGACTTATTTTACAACCAAGAGATTAGTTAATAACAAAATTAGTTGCACTGGTGTATAAAAGAAGAGTAAATAAGGTGATTTCCTTTTGTCTTCTGCATTTATGGTATCCTTGTTATATACTCATTAAATATTAATTTGTATTTTGATAAATAATTGTTTAATTCCATACAGCAAGAAGATAGTAAAAAGACTGATCTCAATAATCATGCATTATCAAATGCCTCCTTTACTTCTAGTGAAGATATTATTGGAAGTGTATGTTTTAGAAATAAATCTGATAATGTTACTAAAGTAGGAATTGCTATTATATTATCTCGTATCTTTTTACTTAAGTCTTCATTATTTATTTTTATAGAGACCGTTAACGAGATATTTACCTATTCGCAACGGTGAATTAGATTTAAAGGCTCACATTGAATCAGCCGGTCATCAAATTGATGCATGTTCACATATTGAAATAAATAGCTTTTCTTGCCGAGGCTTTCTGAGTAAATTGTCAGTTAAATTTCATCGTTATAGTTGGAAAAAAAGATGGTATGTGTTTGATCGTATTAAACATACTTTATCATATTATGCAGATCGCAATGAAAAAAAACTTCGTTCTGTTACATATTTTCAAGTAAGTTATATTTTAGTTTTATATAAAATTAAAGTAAGAGTTAATATTTTATTTTTATTCATAGGCAATTCAAGAAGTATATGTCGATCATATGAACAGTTGCAAATCTCCTAACCCTCGGCAAACTTTTATCGTGAAAACCAAAGAACGTAGATTTTGTTTGCTAGCTCCTACATCGCAAGCTGTTCGTATTTGGGTTGACGTTATTTTTACTGGTGCTGAAGGCTACCAAGAATTTACTAAAGTTTAAATTATCTTCGTAATACTTTCACTGTTTTTATTTTAAATTAACTTATGAATATGATTACTAAAATGGAAACAAATGCCATTAAATAGTAAACATTTTAAAACAGGGTAATAAATTTTATAAACTTTTTTTTATTTTTTAAATTATTCATGCTATTACTTGAACCATTTAGTTTGCATTTTAATATATAAACTCTATGTTAACTTTATTTTCAACATATTTGATTAGTTATTTAAATATTTCAGTAAAAATTTCTCTCATAAAATGTTTTATTGAATTAGAATTTTTTTATTTATTTATGTATAATACAAATCATTTGTTTTTATTTTGTTTGCTAAATTTGAAAATAATAAGTTAAACATTTTCTTAGTCATATATTTTAATAAGCAATATCTTTTATAATCCTTTACTAAATTTATTTTTAATATTTGTAAGTATAATAAATACATTTTAGTTCATTAACAAAGGACTAAGAGTTGTTTTATTATTATACTTTAATATACATCATGTTCAATATTTTTACTAATTTGAAACTATCTTAGGGCTTAAACCAAAGACCTAGGAGTATTTTTTTATTAATCATAAATCATTATTTATGATATGTAATTTTTAATCTACAAGTTATTTATAAATAGTCTTCCCACAAATGATAACTTTTAAAACTTCCAGATTTTTATTTTAAATTTGCATTTATTAAATAATTTTTCATTTAATTTGCTTGATATATTTTTAATTATTATTTTACTTAATAATATAACGACAATATAATACAAGCCAATAGACTGATTTGTTTAAAACTATTAAATATTTTATAACGTAGTTACCTATAAGTCTATAAGGTAGATTTTTCATTTAATAAATATGCATGTTATTAATTCATTGACTTTGGATCATTAATTGTGTAAATTTTTTTTATTAAAAATATTTTATACATTTTTTTTATGTTTGTCATTGATTTAAGAATGTATAACATTATTCTGCAGTATTATTGTTCATAATTCATTGTAATTATTGTTAAAATGTTTAATGTAGCTCCCATTTTGCTTACATATTTGTATCATTGAATCACATAAATCATTTTTATATTTTAAATTTAAGTTCATAAAATTAGCATATAACACATTTTTGATAGAACATGAGCTATTATTAAGAGTCATATAAACAATAAACATAAAGTTACTTTTTATTTATTATATTATTCACATAAATTTGCACTGAATTTAAATAATGTATTTTTTTTTTTTTACTATAATTGTACATTAGATTTGTAGTTTAATTCACTGTTTGTAAATGTTTACAATTCACTACTAATAAGAATGATCAAAAGAACATTAATAAAAATTTTAACCACAGAATCAATTAAATTATTAAAATAAGATTTATCCCATTTGTATTTTATAAAGAAAATTTATAATATTTTCATGTCAAAGTAAATTGACCCAAATGAGTGACATAAATTTCCTTTTTTTATTTCAAATGAAATTTTGGTTTATCATATTGTTTATGATATTATTATACAAATATAATATCACTAGGAAAATAAGCAAGGATTGTCTTCTATTTTTACTGGTTTTAATAGTGGTAATAGAAAATTTGATATCATCAAATTAAATTGATGTTAAATCAAAATCTAATAAGCGTCTTTTATTTAATTAAAAAAATTATCACTGTATTTTAATTAATATAAACTACAAAAATATTGATAACTTATGATATAATTCTATATGATTAGTGTCATGATATGTCATTGAAGTAAAATTTTTCGTGTTTAGTTAGTTTTAATGAAAAAAGATTAATAAATTTAAGTGTTATGACAAACATTTAATTATATATATTATATATTTACCCTCCAGGTAAAATCATTTAACCACCACTAACACCCTATATACATAATACTTAATAAAACTCTTTCAATCTCGTATAAGTACACGAAGTGTGTTCAGAAAATAACGGTAATTTTCATTTTTTGAAAAAAATATTCGTCTACATTAATGTGATCTTGCAAAAAAGTCCCCATTAGATATGTGCATTTGTGCCAACGCTTCTTCCAATTGTGGAAACACTTCTCAAATTCGATCTTTGGGATAGCCTTCAGCTCATTGTGCTTTTAATGTCAACTGTGTTTGTAAAACGATGGCCCTTTAAATTTCACTTTATTTTTGGAAGTAGAAAAAAGTCACACGAAGCCATGTCTGGCGAATATGGAGGCTGGTACATCGTTAGAGTATTATTTTTGGCTAAAAATTCACAAACAATGAAGTGTGAGCAGGTGCATTATTATCGTGGTGCAAAATCCATGAATTGTTTTGCCATAAATACGGGCGTATTTTTCGGATTACTTCAAGTAAACGGCATTGAACTTGTAGGTAATACTCCTTATTGACCGTTTAACCTCGTGGCAAGAATGTATGATGCACTATGCCTTTAAAATCGAAGAACACAGTGACATAGAGCCTTTTTCGGTCTTGGCAATCCAGAATGTCTTCACTGGGACGATTAAGCCTTAGTTTCGACGTCGTATACATAAACCCAGGTTTCCTCACCTGTTATATCATGTTTCAGTAATTCTGCATTATTGTTGATTTTATTAAGTGACTCCTAAGCAACTTTTATTCGCCGCTATTTTTCTTTAAAATTCAATAGTTTTAGAACAAATTTTTCTACTACACGTTTCATACTCGTAACATTCGAAAAAATTACATGGCATGGGCCAATCGATTTTCCAACATCATAAGCGATTTCTTTGATTGTAATTCGGCAATCGTTTGTAACCATTTCTTTCACTTTTTCCACGTTTTCATCGGTTGTTGATGTGCTGGAGCGTTCGTCATCTTCGACGTCTTCACGGCCATCTTGGAAACGCTTAAATCACTCGTAAAACCTTGTTATACTCATGACTGACTCACCATATGCCTTTGTTAACATTTTATTTCATTTTTTACGCAAAATTTGATTCAAAGCCTTTGATCTATTTTTTTTTTAACAAACGAAAATCGCCGAACTCATAAAAACACGTCTAACCATAGCGGCTGCCACTGACTAAGTAAAAAATAAATCCAGCTGAAATTTTTATCATACTTCAAGGATATGTTTATAAACATTATAAAAAAAAAAATTTAATAATCACTAATTATCAACATTCCTCACGGATTTGGAGAGTCTGATTATTAATTAGACTCTCCAAATTCACGAAATTTAAAAATTTTGGTTATTTTCTGAATACGTCTCCTACATAATTTTAGTATAAAAAATGCTTCAGCATCTGAGATTGTTACTTGGACTTTTCACATAGTTGATAACATAATTGATACTTAACACAAAATAGATAAATTAACGATTTGTCGACATTATTATGGTAAGTTATTGGTTACGACATTGGATTACGGTAATAACCTTTTTCTTGTTTTCTTACTTATGATTTATATAACAGTTAAGCTTTAATGTAATTTATACAAAATTAAATAGCGGGAAATTTATACCAAAATGAATTAATGTTAATTTGGTTTCTTTTTAAAATGTATATTTATTTTACGGTATTTTATAAAAATAATTAAGTGATAGAATAGTTATAAAATATAAATCGTCAAAACATCCAATTATAAAAAAAATAATTATAAGGTAAGAAGTTAATAAAAAACAGAATTATATATCTTAATGATTTTTAAAGATACCTATACTGAGTAATCGATTTATTGTTAATATTAGATAAAATAATAATTTTGAGAAATAATTTTTTGCTTATTCAAGTAGTATTTATTTCTAGATTTATAAGTGCTTGAATTTTTTTTTGGTCCATTCCTTAGTTCTCATAATTGCACCAACTTATATATTTTATTACTTAAAATGATCCAACTATGGAATTACTGGTCGTTAATTACTTTTAAATCAGTATTTCAAGAGTTATGAGTATTTTTATACTTTGATGGGAAGAGGAACGCGGCAGAGTTGTGTAATAATAATAGCATAACCCACACCTTACCTCTAGTCAAATCTATAAATATTCTGAAATTCTGGTTCAATAGTTGTTATGGACTAGACATTTTCTTAGTTGAATAATTTTTTAACATTTAAATTAGTAAAATATGTATGATGCCATTAAAAAAAATTAAGTTGATAACCTTATAAGAGATAAGAAATGGTTCTAAAAAAATGTAAGCAATTATAAATTGAGAAATAAATTCCATTTAACACGTTGACTGCCATGAGGTTCGTTTCAGCCCCTCAGTAGAATTTTTAAGTGAGCCATGAGGGATCATTTAGTCCTTTACTGTTATGTTATCTTTGAAGATTCGTGGTGTCAAATAGCCCCTCAGTTACCGTCTAAATACCGTATCATCTGATTCTCTGTTATCAGTTTATTAAAATGCTTCAATCAGCATTTAAATATTTACATATAGGTGACACACCAAAACAGGCGCGGCAGTCAACGTGTTAAATAAGCTAAAAAAAAAGATTATTATTATTTTAAAAGAAATCAAATGATCAAAGATTAATCAATCCCTCTGTATATACAGGCTAACAATAATCATTTGATATTTCTTAAAATAATAATCATAGATTTTTTGTGCGCTAAATATACTTTTTTAATTATCTAAAGCCGGGTTCTCATGACTGGTGTACTTGTAAAGTATACCAATAATTGTATACTTGCCAAATCGTCCAATTATCAACAAGTAGAACGTTCCCATGACTGATATACTTGACAAGTATGCCAGTATTTGTACACCTGAACTAGTAATAAATAAAAGCCAAGTTTATTATTGCTATGATTGGATCAAATGCCAAGTACACAAGTGTGCACCAGTGAACTACAAGTGTAAACTTATCAAGCCATTAATTCCTTTGATTTGTGTCACATATACCGACAATCCGCTGGAAAATGACAAGTGACCCCACCAATAATTGTACAAGTATTCTGTACTACAAGTAGTGTTCCAACGACTTAACGAGTATAAACAAGTGACGAATATTTGACAAGTACACCAGACATGGGAACCCGACTTAAGAGCTAGTAAAGTAGTAACGCACATATTGAGCAATCCGAGTTGTGTATTTTCTAGTCAGAATTTACAACATTGTCGTATCAGCTATGACCATTTAAATTTAATGTTTCGATTAGGACGTAATTGTTAATAACTATTGTATATGTGTAGTTGAGCGATGAAGGCAAAAATAGCTATTTAATATATTTAATAATTTTATTTTTACTTATTCGTAAACAGTGTAAAAAAGCAACTATTGAATAAAAATTGAAAAAATCTGCATTTGTTGTATAAATGTCTAACATAAATATCTAAACGTAAAAAGTCTATCTAGCTTCTTTTACGAGCAATAAATATCTACTATTTTAGTTAGAGTGATAAGTGAATGCTAATGTACAGTTATTGACAATATGTAAGTATGTAAGTTATGTATATGAATGAAAGACTAATGACAAAAACAAAATGGTATGACATTTGCCGGTTGAAATTATTATTATTGTTATTGTTACAAACGCCGTTCGATTTTATGTTGGGTTTTCCGATCCGTGGGGAACACTGAATATGACGTACTATATTATTATATGACAGACGGGCGGAGTTGGGGAAATGGTAGATTTGTTTCGTACTCGGTTTTCTGGGTTGTCACACCGATTTTCATTTGTAAGTGAGAAAGGGTGTAGAGGTGAGTCGGGGTAAACGACAAGAGAAACTTATCGGCATATTTTTAATCAGACTCGGGAAAGACCATCCGCTCACCCGTTGACGGCACTCCCCTTATCAGAGGTTGTTTATAATCATAATAATTATAGCAGTACTTCCTCTCCTCTACTGTCCTCGCAATACGATCAGCGAACGCAGCCGTTCAAAGCTCTAATTAATAAAACCGGCTTCCGATGTCACCGAGTAATCTCCCGTTACCCTTCCAATACGAATCTGTAAAGACTCTAAGAATCGTACACGGTCTATATATTATACTCGTTTGTATACAAACGCATTTCTCTGTCTTTAATTTGTCCCTTATACTGTCGCCACCAGCGGTATATTATAGTGTTGTTCTCCTTCTTACCGCGTGCTTTCCCTTTTCGGCGGAACGGATTTAATATTTCTCTCTTTGTCATCTTCAAGATTCTTTGTCTACAAATAGCTAAGCTTTTTTTACGTTTTGCGCCTTTACCTTGATTATCAACAGATTGCTTCGAAAACACGAACGAAACCGTCAAAAACACAGTTGTCGTACTTTAATTACTACAACCAAAATAATGGCGTTAATTAATTTCACACGCAATTTTTTTTCCTCAATACTTAAGAAATAAATGATTTTTGAGTAGAGTACATTAACTGTTAAAGGGTTCTTATAAAATATGGATTAATAAAGTGAAAATCGGCTAAATTTTTTTTCGATGCAAAAATACGCACCTATACATTACATATTTAAAAATGTTATATTTTTTATTTAAGGTAAACATTTATAAATAATACAAATTTTTTATTCGGCGATATTACACTAATACAATTTTAAAAAACTTGTCATCTTGCTTGTATACAGGTGGAACAGATCTATCTGACAACTATTTTAATTTATTATCTACATTTTTTTTTTTTAATCAATTTTTAAAATATTGCAGTCAATTTAAAATATGTTTTATGTTATTTTTCGCAATTACAAAAAATATTTAAAAAATTAATTTTTTTATCAATTTTTTTTTGCTGAGAAGGTATTAATATTACCATGATGTGTTTTTTTTTTTTATTTCTTTTGCCACTTTTCTCAGCTCTCACTGGACCGATTTCTTTTAACAATACGCCAAAGATCACAAATCGTATCTAGTTGAAGACATTACCCTTAAAAATTGAAAAATTTTCCCTCGTTACCCGCAAATGGAGGAAATCTCCAAAATAATTACAATTTTTTAAATCGGTAAATTTTGTCATTATTATCACTTTTTTTTTTCTTAAAACTTCCATAACTTTTTCAAAAATCAATAAATCAATATAATTTTTTTTATACTAAAACCTTATATATTTCCCTTTCATTTGATATCATTTTTTTTAAATCTAACACTTATTCTACTCACAGGAAGGGATTTAAAATAACAACTTTTTTACAAAAACGTATATTTCGAATTTTTTTTTTCATAGTAAAGTGATTAAAGACATTATGCATCTATAAAAAAAAATTATATTGATTTGTTCATTTTTGAAAAAGTTATGGAAGTTTTAAGCAAAAAAAATTAAAAATTTTTCAAAAATTAGCTTTTTGTAAATTTGTATTTTTTTTGAGGTTTCCCCCATTTACGGGGAACGTGGGAAATTTTTTCAATTTTTGAGGGTAATGTATTCGACTAGATACGATTTGTGATTTTTTGACGTATCGTTGAAAGAAATCGGTTTGGTGAGAGCTGAGAAAAAGGGGCAACAGACAAAAATCATAGAATCAATATCTTCTCAGCTTCGCATCGAAGCTAAAAAAATGGTGAAAACATTTAAATTTCAAGTTTAATTTTTGAAAATAACTTTTTTTGTTGATAATGATTTATTTTTTTAAATGATTACAAGAACAATTTTATTTTTTTCAATATTGCGATATATTTATTTATGAGACGAAAATTTATTTGAGATGATCTGATTATTTGTTTTTTGAACTTAAATTTTATTTAACTTAGAAAATTTAACAAAAATGTTTGTTTAGTAATCTGTATTACTAACATTTGCCTCTTAAATACCTTCTCTTAAAATATTATTTTGATACTATCAATTAATAATAATAATGAGTTTGTAATTAATAAATTGATGAAGTCTTCTTACTTTACTTCTATCTAACAAACTAGATTTACATAGATAAATATGAATTTATCATAAAATGTATTAATTGCTATAAATTAATTCATTATTTGTAATAATTGTATTAGTTGTTTATTAATTAAATCTATTAAATTAATGTATTAAAAGTAGACAAACTAAGGCAGAAAATTTTATTAAGCCATATATATTTTCATGAGTGTGGTAGTACAGATAACGGAAAACACGTCGAGTATTTTAAATTAAAACATTGAATTGAGTTATGTGAAAATATATCTAATTGTTACTTCTATTGGTGTTAACATTTGTTGTGCAAAAATAATAAAACATAGTTTTAATTGTCTATTAACTTCAGCTTAGTTGTCATATGTTAACTTTTGATTCTCAAATTTTATTAATAATTATTCATAATGTTATACAGCATGATTTTTTTAACGCTAATCACTCAAATTCTCTTAAAAAATAATTGTATTAAGACAATTACTTTTGCTATTTTTTAGTTTCATATATTCATTGATATCAATTAGTAAGTACTTTTTCTAATTACCTTATAAGGTTGTCAACTTTATTTGTTTATATGGAAAAATATATATTGAAGTGTTCAATAATAACTTTTGGGCTAGTAATTAGAAATTTATTAACATTTTTATACCTTGGCGTGGTAGTGGTGTGGCTGAGAAATATCTAATAATAAAAATTGTCATACCCATATCTCACCTCCAGTCAATATAAATATGGACTGAGGTGAGGTAATGGTAATAACATGATAGTATTGGCCTAAAAGATGTTATTTTATTTATTATATTTGTCATTTTTTTCATTAGATGATTTTATATTTTATAAGCTAATTGAATACGTATGTTACGTAAAGTGGTCCTCAAATATGAACTTTTACAAGAAATACAAATTAAATGAATTTTTTATTTATATTATCAGTTAACGCCGATTAAAAATAAAGTTATGTTAATAAATGAATGTTAAAAATTTGTGTAGATAGATATATATCTCTACATTTTTTGTCAATTTTCGTAGCGGATAAGCGGAGTAATCTTGTAGTAATTAAAAAAGTTAAAAAACATTATCAACTTAAACAAACGTTTTGATAACATTCATTTTAATCTATTATGTATACTTGTATTAAACGACGCCACAATCATATTTTTGCGGATAACAAACATGATTTTCGCCCTGGAAAATGTACCGTGATTAGTAGCTTTGTTTTTACATCTATATCCTTAATAGCTTTGAAGTAAAAGAAAGAATTTACAGTGTTTTCATTGATTCATTAAAGACTATGACACAGTCTATCATAGTCTTCTTATATCAGTACTAGCTTTACTTGGTATTGGCAATCCATTGATTGCTTGGCTTCAGTCCTACCTTACTCAAAAAAACAATTTTTAACTATTTTCAATGTTACTTCTGATCTGTCTTTCTTTCGAGGGTTAGCATTAAAAGAATTACTCTGTATCTAGTTAAAATGTACCGAGTTATTTTACATTTAATAGCCATTATCTTCTAAATGTTTATATTATAAATTAAATGATTAAGTAATTATAAAACTATGGTTTGTGTACTCGCATGATTCAATGCAAGTGTTAAAATAACGATACAAATTGAACTTTCCAGTCGTTTGTACCTATTAAAAAAAAAAAAAAAAAATAAATAAACAGGTAACTAATAAAAGGAAAACGCTTCAGATGAGGAACATAAGCCTACGTATACATGGGACGGAATTATGTCTGGAAAGTAATGCAAGTGGTGTTGGCGTTTGTTATGAAATTATTTAAGGTAAGGTAGTGACGAGGAGTTTTAAAGTTTTGCGTTATTAATGGGAAAAACAACAAGAGCGCCTACAAGGAGATAGGGCAAGATCGGGATTTTAAATTCGAAACGGCCATGTGCTGCTCGAACGCCTCTGGCATGTGTGATTTAGTGTTTTCCTTGATTAGAATTTGATGATTTCCTTTCAACGTATAGTTGTATGCTTCCATAGCAGCAAAGCGATGGCGAGCAAACGAGTGGAAATATTCTGCACCGAACCGAGGACCAGATAAAACCAAAACACACTCGCACACTGACTTCAATAATACATAAACAATATTAGTGTTGTGTGCTGCAATGTGCAATCATTATACAATTTTTAACTCCAGGTCGAGCATTTGCATTTAATTAAATTTTTGTTTTTGTATCACTAGTAAAATCAATCTATTTGATATATCATGACAGTTTTATTTAACAAGTGTAGTATGCTAGAGTTGGTATTTTTTTTTTTTGTCCGATAAACGCCATTTGTTTTTGTATTTTCAATTTTTTATTTAAGGATACTTCCTTATCTTGTGATTACTATTCGTTTTGTACGTTTTAACCAGAAGGTAAATTTGATATAAGCCAACTACAGTTAGACTGTTATTTTACAAGTGAAAGTTAAGTGTTATGATTTCTCTTTGCTTTCTGAACTAAAGACAGTACTTTTTATCACTGTGAAAACACCCTTATGGCCACCCAATCATGAACCTACAGTTGTAGGCGTGGCTTAGCTTTAGAGTGATTAATAAATATTACTTTGTATAATATGCGCAAAATTTACATGTCAAGTTGGGAGATGCATTAAAAATTATTATTATAAAAATTAAGGTGAGTTATCTCCTTTGTAATATGCATACAACAGTCGTTTGAAGAAGACAGGCTGTAAGAATAATATAAATTGATCAATTAATTATTTTTAATTTTCCAATTCTAAAATTAATTTTTTTTATTTAAAAAATACAAGATCATAGAAATTTTATATAGTCTTAATATAAAGTTATAAGGTAATTACGATCCTAATTCTTATTATATTATTGTATGTAATAGTCAAAGAAATTTGAAGTTGAGATGTAGTTAATATTTCATTTCTTATTTAAAATTTTAATGTTTAAACACATATTTAATTTAGAATTATTTGGTGGAAGAGGTATTAATTATAGATATGTAACTGCAAATATATATTAAAATCTTACACTTATGTTGTCTTGTAGCGGGATTTGCTGTCATGAAGAACGCAGTCAAAAAATGACAAAAAACTACTAACGTAACATTAATTTTGCAGAATAACTGACGAAATTTGTGTACAGAATTATTGAAATATAAATGGGATTGCTGAAAGTAAGTAAAATTAGAAAGTAATATTTTTAGAGGTAATAGTTTCTTCAAGGTTTGATAGGAGCATATATTTCAATTTTCGTGATTTATTAACAATCATATGAAAAAAATAAAATAAATTAAGTTAAATCTCAAAAAAATATAATTAATCACTTGTATAATTGTATACCACGAAAAGTATTTGAAACTTGATACTTACGCCAAGTATTTGTTTGGCGCTGATAATGAAAAATCAGTTTCGAAATAAGCGTATTGGTTAATTTTTTCAAATGCTTTTTATGTTGTTGGGTTAATTCAATTTACTTTTTTTATTAATAATCAATTTTAAATAACGAAGTATTAGCTGGTAAATATATTTTAACCGCGCCAAATGATTATTATGAGCTGAAAGTACTAGGATTCCAAGTTAGATAGTAAACTTATAAGGTTTGAGTGAAATTAACATTAATGTGCACATAAATAGTCTTGCAGGCTGATGAGGGGTGAGCGGGAATATTATTAAATTAATAAAAATTATTTGTACGCTTAGAGTTTTTTAGTTGCTATAATTTATTATTAATAATACAAAATATATCAATAACAGAAAGTGATAGTATAAAATATATATCTCGTAACGCACTGAACAGCTAGGTGGTATCGCGGTGTACTAGTCTAAGATAAAAAATACAATAGGCAATAAGCGCCCTTTTTTCTAGCCGCTGTTTAATATAACATAAGACGCAACACAGGCATTAGCATATAATAATAGAGAAAATAACTATTATAAAATATTTAAAATTATAAACAAAATATTTAATAGTTTGTAAAGATTATTATTATTATTTTATACGACACATCTAAAATTTATTTACAAGTTGAATAAATAGAACAACGATCTGTTGTTTTGATCTTATAGGTAATTATTTTTATACCTTTTCATTGTTCTATGACGATCATTTGGTTATTTATAATATTCCATAAACTAAATAACAACATGATATGACTTTTTCATAAGCAGTTTTCCGTTGCATTTTACACTTAGGACGTGATATTGGTGCTGTAAAATTTTTGTATGGTCACCCATCCAAGAGTCTTTAGTAACAGGCGTGGCTTAATGTAAGTGACGTAATTATTGTTATTTGTTTTTGTTTGGATTATTCAAAAATTGAATTAATTAAGTCTTTAATGTAAGTTTAAAACCCCATGTAATTAATTTATGACTACACATGGGACTAAAAGACTGATTATATTAAGGGTAATGAAGTGATGGAACGTAAGGTGATATAAAATTTTTTTATATCAATAGAATCTACCACGGTTGTGGATATATTTTTAATTTGTTGAATACTTAAAATTTATATTTCTTTATTAATCATTTCATATTTTTATTTGTAATTACCTATTTAAATTAGTTACTGTTAATATTTTTTCTCAACTTGTTTTTATTATAGCCTAATATTTAAAATTTATAAAGACTGCTTTGCGTTTATTTTCAAAATAAATTTAAATTTTAATACTGACATTGTGATGTTTTGTATGATATTTATTTTTAATTAATTTTTAATGATATAACAAAAATCAAAGGTAGGTACTAATCAATTCCTTTATTGAGATTTTTTTTTTTACAAAGAAAGTATATTTGCTTTTAATGATCAATATCATTTTTAGCCTTTGAGGGGAGACAATTAAGTGTGTCTCGGGATCACTCCTGAATTTTTAGGAGCTATAGTCCCCCCTCCTAGTTTTTTCTATTTTATCCATTGGATACAATAGTTTTTTTATAAAATAAAAAATTGAGTAAATCATGCCTTAAATACAAATTGTGCAGAAGAATTTTTACTTATTCGTTGTATAAATGCTGCAGACCAGTGGCGGCTCGTAGATTGGACGACGGGACGATCGCACCCTCTATTAAAATTAATTAAAAGAAGAAAATTAATTGTATATTCTTAATTCTAAATTGTTATTAAAAATGTAAATTTTTAAACTGTAAAAATAGTTATTACACATTTGTCGTGCGCTAATTTTTGAAATTTTTTCAATTTTTTTTACTAAAAACTGCCGTAACTTTTTCAAAACTGAACATATCAATATAATTTTTTTTTGTAGATGCTTGATGTCTTTACCTATTATTTCGTATATTTTTTTTGTAAATTTGACCTTTTTTCTGCCCACAGGGGGGGATTTAAAATGACAACTTTTTCACAAAAAATTAACTTTTTCAACTTAACTTTTGAAAATGTTCCGGAAGCTCTGACACTTTTATATATATCTTAAATTAAAGCTCATGTAATGTACTTTAATTTGAAAAAAAAAAATTTGACCTCTGGACTTGTCTTCGTGGTGAAAGTTGACATCAAAGTTAATAAAAAATTACGATTTTTGTAAAAGAAATTTTTTCAATTTTTTTTACTAAAAACTGCCGTAACTTTTTCAAAACTGAACATATCAATATAATTTTTTTTTGTAGATGCTTGATGTCTTTACCTATTATTTCGTATATTTTTTTTGTAAATTTGACCTTTTTTCTGCCCACAGGGGGGGATTTAAAATGACAACTTTTTCACAAAAAATTAACTTTTTCAACTTAACTTTTGAAAATGTTCCGGAAGCTCTGACACTTTTATATATATCTTAAATTAAAGCTCATGTAATGTACTTTAATTTGAAAAAAAAAAATTTGACCTCTGGACTTGTCTTCATGGCGAAAATGGCTACCGAATGCTTTTTTCGTGTGAAAATTCTCGATTTTATTATTTATATTATATTTAACTTTATAATGCTATAACTTATTGAAAAGTTTATGGATCCACACAATTTTTTTATGACAAATAATATTTTTTAATAAACCCTTTTTCATTCGACATACTTTACCTTAATCGAGATATTAATAAGGAACCAGCAGATCAAGTAGCTTTTGGAATAAAACACCAATTTTTTTAAAATTAAACACTATCTAAAGATTTGCATCGAAGCGTTTATTTTTGATAGTGATTTTAATGACTGTCAGATATCATTTACTTGATCCAACTATGCCACGTCACCACTGTGCCGCGACCCCCCTGTGCTGGGTTTTTTTTTAACTATAATTATTTTTATTTTGTGTGTAATTGAGTTAATGATTTATGATTAATGAATCACCCTGTATAAGCTATAAAGAAAATTCAATAACTCAAAAATATCCTTGAGTAAACTAATAATTTCAAATTCGTGTTACAGACTTAAAATGTAGTAACCAAAATTATTACTAATCTAACCATCGAAGAAGTGGTTGTTACTCAATTACCTAAGCAAAAATAACTAATAGAAGGTGGAATGACAGATATGGGTGCATGATGTATGTTTCAAATCAATCTTAAATAATATCAAAATGTTTTTTTTTTTTTTACTGTAGCTATACAGTTTTTTTATATATTCTTAACTTGAATTGAATTTATTCGTAAGTATATTTTATGTATTTGTACACTTAAAATATATATTTACTAATAAATAATATTTAAAAATAATATAAACCTATACAGATAAGTGAAAAAACATTTTTTTTTATTAATTAAATTTTTTTTAATGTCATTAAGTGTAATAAAATTATTAATATAATCATGGTAAATTATTTACTATAATGATATATTGGATTTGCAGATTTAGGGCGCATACAGGAAAAAAATGTATCGTTATAGAATTATAGTTAAAGTTAAATAATAACTTAAATCAAATATAATTGTTAGTGACCTGTTGACGATAATTTATTAATTAACTAACAATCCTTGCAATCATAAATAGGTATTACACAATAAAATATAATAATGCGCCGAAGGAAACAATACGTTTATATTATTATATTATTGCATTATAGATAGATAGACTGGTACTTGGAAAAATGACAATAAAAAGTAAATAATGAAATGAAAAGAGTTATAAAATTTTTCAAGAGGAGAAAACGGATTTTATACAGACTTCGGAAGATTAAAAGGCCGTACTATGAAATAAAAGACCTTTATTATATGTAGATAGTAAAAATAGCCTCTTTGCTGTTCAAAATACGAAATGGTAAAGATTTAAGATTAAGGGAATACCAGGGATAAAAACGTTAAATTAATTTTAACAACAACAACAGGAGTGATTAAACACAATAACACAATTGTTACTTCACTTATTATATGGAGGTGAAAACATCTATTCTATACTTTAAATATTTATAACTTTCGTAACAACGATTCAAAAGCTTTTATAGATCAGTCATTTTCTTAATTAGCTCATTTTTATTTTATATGATAGTTAAATATGTTGTCATTAAATAAAGTTATATGACACTCTTAAGAAAAATGTTGTAATTGATAAATCTAGAAATATATGAAACTCAAAAACATTTTCAAAAGTTAAATTGAAAAAATTCTAATTTTTATACATTTGTTTCAGCTATTGACTATATAGGGTGATTTTTTTTATCATAATTCACTCGATTAAAAATAAAAATAAAAATAAACATTTTTATACAATTTTTTTTTTTTTAAAACCTTTATTCACATATTATTTTTGAATTATCTGCTATATAATACATTGTAAGGGTGTCAACTTATAGTATGTAAAATAAGCTTTTTTTTACCTAAGGTTTAAAGCTTGTAGTATTTTCTAAAAATTTTCAAAATTTAATTTGAGAAGGTTAACTTTTCATAAAAAGTAGTACTTTTGAATCCTCCTGTAGGCAGGTTAATGTATATATATATATATACTTAAATAAAGTAAAATAAACCTGAGATATAAAAAATTATAAAAAAAATTCTTTCAAATTTTTTTTTTTTTTAAGTTATGACAGTTTTAACAATAAAAAGATTAAAAAGTGTGGCAATTTACCGATTTTCAATATTTCTAACATTTTTTGTTTGTATTTGCCCCATATTTAGGAAACGAGTGACTTTTTTTAAATTTTTGAAGGTTATGTCTTCAAATAAACATAATCTGTGATCTTGTAATGTATTGTAAAGAATCGGATCGTTGAGAGCTGAGAAAAAGTAGCGATAGACACAAAAAAAACACATCATAGTGTTAGGGGCTTGTTTAAAAGTTGAGGATCTTGGTCAAAACCAAGAATCGGAAGCTACCCGACGTCTGCTCAAATATCGTCCCTATCTCCTTAAATGAGTTTTAATTGCCTGAAGGAGACACAGGCAATCGTGTACCTTAGTTACAGGGGATAGATTATTAAATAAAATTAGACTATTGTTTTATGTCAACGACAAAGTAAGGTTATATTTAGATGTTCAGTAAATATAAGTTATATGTAATGTACAATACGTCTGACCTGAATCCTAGTACAGTTGGTTAGTAGGTATATCCAAGTGAGACGGAGTTGGTTGGCTATGATGACAATTGGCGATAGACGGGTCGTTGAATAAAACAAGTAAAGTTATAAATAATATAAATAAGACGAAAGTAATAATATTGAAAATTATGTCTATAACGGCCACTCAAACACAACTGCCCTTTGTTAGTTCGACGTCAGTAGCTCCGGGCTACAGACGAGTAGAATTGTCACATCATCATCTCCCTCTATGCTAATTAATATATATTACGAATTAAATAAATAGAAATAAAACGTGTGTAATATAAGTGGTAAGAACATAGTAATAAATATTCTTACAATAGTAAAATTTATACCTTTTCAGCTTCACATCAAAACTAAAATTAATCAAATTAATTGAAATTTAATAGTCATGATAACCATGATAATAAAGTATTGCGATAAATATTAAAATTAATTTTGACGTTTTTAATTCATTTGGTAGTAAAGTATTGTGTAGTTTAATAAATCATTTATTTTTATCTGGCTGTAATAGCTATACGCTTTTAGAATTCTATAAAATAATTTCATGAGTAAGATGGTGTTTTTATATTAAATTTTTTTGCCATTATTAACAACGTAATATCTTTAATGTCATCATAAAATATACTTTGTACTAACCTAAATTAATTTTGACTTATAAGCTACAAAAATTTATCGTTTGATAAAAAATTTATAATATTTTTATACAATAGTAATTACCCAATATTTTAATAACACCGAAAATTAAATTTAAACTCTTACTGCGATTATAAAAATGATGGTAACGTAAAACACCTGAAATCAGCGACAAAACTGCTTTAGAATGCATTGTCTTATTATTGATGTTCAGTATTAATTACACTGATCAAAAAATGTATTATAATATAATTCAATCTATAATATTATTTATTGTATTGGTTAACCACATTTATTTATAATAAGAAGTTATTTAAAGTGATATTCATAGACGTTGAGAGGAGGACTACGGGAAATAAGTCCATCGTTTAAATTTAACCCCCACACATTTAACGAAATTATTTGCATTGTTATAAAGAAATTATTCTTAGGAGGAGGATAAATTAAATTTAAACCCTTAAAAAATTAAGCACCCTGCACTTACTGATGAAATTTGATTTAATTATAAAAATTTTACTAAACATTTTAATTTATTACTTTATTATTACAAATAACTATTTATTTTGTTTATAATTTATGAACAGACACTATATTTTCAACAGTTAATATCTTTTAACAAAATAAACAGCGATTTTTAAATTAAGAATGACTTTCGTAAAAAAGGATGAACTACATTAAAATAACCTATACTTTCTTAGTTACTTGTCCGCAATGAAACTGAAATGTACACAGACTTTTTTTTTAATGCATGTATAAAACGGCATTTATTTGTAGTTAAATGATTTAAAAACAATGGTCTTGCACGATAGAGCGAGATAGGTTTGTAAAAAAATTCTTAAGCTGATATCATTTGGCTTACAAAGCATTTCTCTGTTAAAGTAATTGTGAGTGTTTATTGTTAGATAAAATCGGAGTAACTTAAAAAAAAAAGTAGTTATTACGGTGAAAATAAAAAAAGTAGTTATTACGGTGAAAATAAAAAAATTATTTATTTTATGTATCTTTATTTGAAATATCTGAATCTTTTTCTTAAATAAAAAAATTACGATAAAAACGGTAGCACAGTGGGGTCGAGGCACAGTGTGGACGAGGCATAGATGGGACAATTATAGATGATATCTGACAGTGATTAAAATCACTATCATAAGAAACGCTTCGATGCAAATCTGTAGATACTGTTTCATTTAGAGAAATTGGTGGATTATTCCAAAAGCAACATCAACTCTTATTTCTATGATTATACCCTAATTAGTAGTTCTTTGATTTTAAAATATAATATATGAATATATACTAATTATAATTATTAAATTTAGTATGAAATTGATATTCAATAATTTAATATTATAATTTATACGGAGAAATTATAAAATTAATAAAGAAATTGAATTTTGGTTTACTTTTACGTGTATAAAAATTTAAGGGACTTGATACAATAATTTTCAATAAAAACTGTTTGTTACTGTAAATAAATGCACTGAAATACAAGGAACTATCATAAGAAGCAAAAATATACTTTTCTAAATCAATTTTTCGCGTTGTTTTCAAATCTGCAATTACACTTTTTCTATCACTTCTAATTTTTTATATTATTACTAATTACATATAAAATAATAATTAAAAGAAAAAAAAATTTTTTTTTCAAATTATTACTGATTTGATTTTTAATATGTTAAAAATAATCATTTTTAATAATCAATAGGTTAAACATTTTTAACCTATTTTTTGGTTGGGTTGATGAAAAATTTTTGATAAAGTTTTGTGAATATTTATAATTTATTTTACCATAACTTTTAGCTCAATTGGCAAGTTTAAAATTGACATCATTAAATAGAAAATTTTATGAGAATTAAAAAAATTGTACCGTTAAGATTAATATGCAGTCAGAATGTTTTATTATTACTATTTATTGTAAATTTATCATAAAAGCTTCATATTTTTTTGCATTTTTATCGTAGTAGAAAACTTAAATAGAAGTAATAGTAAAAATTTCCTAGTAACTTTTGGTGTTTAAAAAGATTCTGCAATTGAAATATTCAGAATTTAATTAATTTTAATGATCTACTTTAACTAAATGAACCAATCAAAACAAATTTGTTAAAAAGATATACTCAATTGAGCGTATAATAAAATTTGATTATAATTGTAAAAATCCTTTATTGACTCAGGACAAAGTAACAATCGTTTTTTTTAGAAATGATTTATATAACAATATGTTACCAAAAAAATTTGAATATTATAGTCTAGTAGTAGCACACATGAATAGAAAAAAAAAATAATGAAATTACAACGTAAAATGATTTAATTTTGTAGTTGAAACCTATCATATTAAATTATCATATCAAACTTGATTCGTCAATAAATACTTTGAAAACATTAGAAATTAATGATTTTAAATGTCTGTATGGAGAACATGTGACAAGTAACAGTTTAATTGATAGATTAGAATTTTTTTCAATTTTTGAGGATAGTATCTTCAACTAAT